GTAGGATTATTCCTGGAGTAAAGTGTTTTTCAATGAGCTGCATCAGAATCTGGATGAGTAGCCATCAGCACATTTATAACCTCTCTGGGTAGGATTCACAAAGGTGATATAGGCACCTAAATCCAACACTTTGGCACCACTGGCAATCACAAAACCCCCACTCAGCTGCCACTTAATGCTGTAGGCCCCTGAAGTCTCAGCGTGCTTAAGTGTCTGCCGTTAGAGTCTGCTAGGTACCTACATTTCAGCAGCTGGGCGTGCACATGGAAGTCTCAGCCCTGACACCTCCCAGCAGGTTGGCACCTAAACTCATGCCTAAACCTGAGCAAGATTCACAAACTAGCTGTTTCCCCACCTGTCTTGCCTTTGGAGCCCAGGCCAGTAGGCAGGCTCAAAGCAGTTAAACCCACACAAAACAGCAAACAGTGGAGAAGCATCTCCCCTTCCTCCTGCCCAGTAATCTTTAGGCCACTGATTAGCACGCTCACCTGCATTGTGGGAGACCCAGGATCAATTCCCCCCTCTGCCTGATCTGGAGCAGGAATCTGAAGTTGAGTCTCTCACCACCACTAACCACAGAGTGCCCTAACTGCTGGGCTATGGGATATCCTGACCTAATCTCCCAATCTCTGCTGTTGAGACTGTTCCACTGCCTATAAATACTTACATATTAATTGGATCAGTGAGACCGAAACCTAGTTCTCCTGCATTGGAGATGAATGCCTTAATCATTAGGCTAAAAGTGTGTAGGGGCGGGGAAGAGAAGTACCACCACTATGTCTGCAGCTTTTCTTGAGAAAGGACTGATCTGGCTTAGGTGGCTGACCCGAGGAGAAGGTTCATGGCTGTGAATCCTGAGCAGAGACAGGTGCCTCCCTGCAGCCGGCATTCAGGCACTTCACTCCCTTTTGAGGAGCAGCGCTTAGGCCAGCATTTACTTTTGGTTAACTTAGGCAGCTCCCTGCTTAGCTGTGAATCCCATTTTTAAATGGCTAACTCTGTCCATGCACTGTATGGAGAGGCTGGGTGCTTAACTTAGGGTTTTGAATTCCATGTAGCAGCAGGGTGCCTGAAGTTAAATGCTATAACTGTGAATATTGCAGCACCTAAGTTACCCCTTGTGAGACCCACCCTCTGGGCCTTTGTTTCCCAAACTGTAAATAGAAAGATATTTACTTTCATTTGTAAAGCTCTTTGAGATCGACAGTGGAAAAGTGCTAATTTGATACCATTTACCTCGCCCAATAGTTCCATTTGGACTTCCTAGGTGGAGAGTTTGAGCAGAGGAAGCTCTACTGAACAAAGGAACCAAACTGCCTAAAGTAAAATGCCAAAAGGTGGAAGGGGGAAAACTGCAGAGGCATCTTAGGTAGGTCCTGAAACTTTTTTTACAGTGGCTACAATTTCAAGTTGAAAAAGACATCTACAGGGAGAGACAGAAAATCCAAGTTTTCAGTCCAGTTTTTTCGGCAGTCGTTCTTTGAACGGGGACTCTGCTTCATCTGACTGAAACAGGAACAGAGCCCATTTTGCTTTTTTAATAAGACGAAAAGTCTGACTGCAAACAGGGAGACCGCACAGCCTCAAGCCTTTAAACAGAAGGAAATAAAGCTGTTAAAAGTCCCTCTTGATAGTGGCAGAAAGCCACTGCCTATTGGTAAAGGGCCCAGGTGTACCCAAATAGAAAAGGTGCATTCCTCTCACATCAAAGGCAATGGCACAGCCCCTATTTCAAATAGCTGAAAAAGTTTAACAGCTATAAATTAAAGTAAGCTGTCAGTCTGCTAAAAAAGATTTTTTTTTAATTCAAAATAAATCGGACTAACAATTTGCAGATGTTTGGAAAGAAAATGTTTGGGTTACACGCTCTTAAAGCCTGAGCTCTCCCTACCTTTGGTGTTCCACTTGCATATCAATGGTTGCAGTGGCTTTTTGCCACTACCCGCTGCCTCCCTAACAGGAGCGCAGCCTCATGAGTTGGCAGATCTTGCGCTCACCCTTGACTTTGAAGTCACATGACTTCTGTCATCCTGAGTTAGACATGCGGAGGCGGGGAAAGAAACCCATCATAGTCTATTTTCCCCTGAAATAGAGAATTTAACCAAAGTGCGACACCAAAAAAATTGTATCTATAAAAACCACATTGTAGTCGGCAAGTAGCAGATCAGATCCTTAGAAAAGGAGGGTTAGAGGAGACCGATCTTTAAGGATGTAAAAGAGCTGTTCCTAAAACGCAAGCATCCAATCCAGAGTATTTCTCAACCAAAAATGGGTTGCCGAGTACTGAAAACTAAAGGTTTATTCCACCAGCAGCTGAATTCTCTTTTCACATGGATAAGCAACAGGGCAAAGTGAGCCCGTGATTACCGGAGCTGAGCCCCTGCTCTTCTCACCCTCATTCCCCAGCAATGACAGTATCGGTCCTTCTCCAGAATATCAAAAATAATTTCCCACTTCACTTAGAAGATAAAAAAGGGCTCTAAAGTATGAATGGCAGTCAGCGAAAACTAAAGTGTGCCGACGGAGAAAGAATATGAACCTGATCAATGGTGCTCCTTCCTATCTCACCTTAGAAGCCTCTAAGTTTTGCTCTCTGGCTCAGATCTGCCCTGGAGCCCATAAGAAGTGTGATTTTTCCCCTCCATCTCCAGTACCTAGCTGTGCTGCTCACCCCTGTACTGCAGCAGTACAAAGATTCCCAGCTTTTCTGCCCTCCCTTATGCTGTATTCCCCAGAGCAACCTTCAGCTAAAGAATTGAAGGACTTCTCCCTGTTTCCCCCCATGCCTTTTTTCTATTGTCCAGCTCAGACCTCCCCTGCAGCATTAGAGGAGTTTTCCTCATTTTTTTTCCTTCTCGCTAGAGCTGGTTGAAGTTTTTCAAACAAAACATTCTTCCAATCCAAAAAAATGCTCTTTTTCTAATTGGAACTTTGCACAAAACAAATGTGGCTTTCTGATATATTCTGTTTTTATAGCAAAACTGGAAAAAATGAAAGATTACTTTTTGGGTTTTCAATTTATCATTTTCCCTCTCCTCCCTTTTTCCTTGGCAAAATATAAAAGGGAGGAGGATGATAGTGGGAGAAGGAAAAAAAGAGTAAAATGAAAAATTTTCACAGAAAATTGAACACATGAATCATAGAATCATAGAATATCAGGGTTGGAAGGGACCTCAGGAGGTCATCTAGTCCAACCCCCTGCTCAAAGCAGGACCAATCCCCAATTAAATCATCCCAGCCAGGGCTTTGTCAAGCCTGACCTTAAAAACTTCTAAGGAAGGAGATTCTACCACCTCCCTAGGTAACGCATTCCAGTGTTTCACCACCCTCCTAGCGAAAAAGTTTTTCCTAATATCCAACCTAAACCTCCCACACTGCAACTTGAGACCATTACTCCTTGTCCTGTCCTCTTCTACCACTGAGAATAGTCTAGAACCATCCTCTCTGGAACCACCTCTCAGGTAGTTGAAAGCAGCTATCAAATCCCCCCTCATTCTTCTCTTCTGCAGACTAAACAATCCCAGTTCCCTCAGCCTCTCCTCATAAGTCTTGTGTTCCAGACCCCTAATCATTTTTGTTGCCCTTCGCTGGACTCTCTCCAATTTATCCACATCCTTCTTGTAGTGTGGGGCCCAAAACTGGACACAGTACTCCAGATGAGGCCTCACCAATGTCGAATAGAGGGGGACGATCACGTCCCTCGATCTGCTTGCTATGCCCCTACTTATACATCCCAAAATGCCATGGCCTTCTTGGCAACAAGGGCACACTGCTGACTCATATCCAGCTTCTCGTCCACTGTCACCCCTAGGTCCTTTTCTGCAGAACTGCTGCCTAGCCATTCGGTCCCTAGTCTGTAGCTGTGCATTGGGTTCTTCCATCCTAAGTGCAGGACCCTGCACTTATCCTTATTGAATCTCATCAGATTTCTTTTGGCCCAATCCTCCAATTTGTCTAGGTCCCTATGTATCCTATCCCTGCCCTCCAGCGTATCTACCACTCCTCCCAGTTTAGTATCATCTGCAAATTTGCTGAGAGTGCAATCCACACCATCCTCCAGATCATTTATGAAGATATTGAACAAAACCGGCCCCAGGACCAACCCCTGGGGCACTCCACTTGACACCGGCTGCCAACTAGACATGGAGCCATTGATCACTACCCGTTGAGCCCGACAATCTAGCCAACTTTCTATCCACCTTATAGTGCATTCATCCAGCCCATACTTCTTTAACTTGCTGACAAGAATACTGTGGGAGACCGTGTCAAAAGCTTTGCTAAAGTCAAGAAACAATACATCCACTGCTTTCCCTTCATCCACTGAACCAGTAATCTCATCATAGAAGGCGATTAGATTAGTCAGGCATGACCTTCCCTTGGTGAATCCATGCTGACTGTTCCTGATCACTTTCCTCTCATGTAAGTGCTTCAGGATTGATTCTTTAAGGACCTGCTCCATGATTTTTCCGGGGACTGAGGTGAGGCTGACTGGCCTGTAGTTCCCAGGATCCTCCTTCTTCCCTTTTTTAAAGATTGGCACTACATTAGCCTTTTTCCAGTCATCTGGGACTTCCCCCGTTCGCCACGAGTTTTCAAAGATAATGGCCAATGGCTCTGCAACCACAGCCGCCAATTCCTTTAGCACTCTCGGATGCAACTCGTCCGGCCCCATGGACTTGTGCACGTCCAGCTTTTCTAAATAGTCCCTAACCACCTCTTTCTCCACAGAGAAATGTTTGTTCCTTTTCCTGTGGAATGAAAATTACTAAAACGTTTCATGAAAAGTTTTCTATTTTTCAGCCATCTCCATTTCTCTGACTTTAATGGGGAAAGTATCTCCTAACAACTGAATACCTGGGCAAACAGGGTGTATTTAGTTTGTTACTTTATTTAAATAACTAACCAGGATGGGAACATAAGGGCTGAGATCAGATTTAACCTAAAATAATTTCCAAATACTTTGCTTGCCCAGCTAACAAATCTGTGCATTATCTCCACAGTGTTCATATTGGTCTGGTGATACAGGAAGTTTCTCCCTGCCTGGACACGTGGGACAAAAACAAGCAAGAATAGTGAGACACTCCACTGATGAGACTGTAGCAAGAGGCATGTATGGCTGCTGCAGAGCACCAGGTTAATGGGACAAGAAGCACTGGGGCCTGGGCAGTGGAAGCTCAGGATGGGGGCTGGTCTACAAATGAGAGTGCATAACACAGCCAGCTTAGGCCTTGCTTCAGAAACAGGCTTGGGAGCTCTGATCATGCTGAAATGCACTCAGAAGGATCCAAGGCGCAGTTACCGTGTCAACTGCAGAGAAAGCCCTCCCAAATCAGTTCCTTATGCATTTCTGCCACCTAGTGAATGAACACAGAATGAAATATCATTTTGGCACAGGGAGGAAAATAAACTCTTTGGGTATGTCTACACTACGGAATAAGGTCGAATTTATAGAAGTCGGTTTTTTAGAAATCGGTTTTATATATTCGAGTGTGTGTGTCCCCACAGAAAATGCTCTAAGTGCATTAAGTGCATTAACTCGGCGGAGTGCTGCCACAGTACTGAGGCAAGCGTCGACTTCCAGAGTGTTGCACTGTGGGTAGCTATCCCACAGTTCCTGCAGTCTCCGCTGCCCATTGGAATTCTGGGTTGAGATGCCAATGCCTGATGGGGCTAAAACATTGTCGCGGGTGGTTCTGGGTACATATTGTCAGGCCCCCGTTCCCTCCCTCCCTCCGGGAAAGCAAGGGCAGACAATCGTTTCACGCCTTTTTTCCTGAGTTACCTGTGCAGACGCCATACCACGGCAAGCATGAAGCCCGCTCAGGTAACCGTCACCCTATGTCTCCTGGGTGCTGGCAGACGCGGTACTGCATTGCTACACAGTAGCAGCAACCCATTGCCTTCTGGCAGCAGACGGTGCAATATGACTGGTAGCTGTCATCGTCATGTCCGATGTGCTCCTGGCCACGGAGCACCTGGGCAGACATAGGCGCAGGAACTAAATTTGGAGTGACTTGACCAGGTCATTCTCTTTAGTCCTGCAGTCAGTCCTATTGAACCATCTTATGGTGAGCAGGCAGGTGATACGGATTGCTAGCAGTCGTACTGTACCATCTTCTGCCGGGCAGGCAAGAGATGAGGATGGCTAGCAGTCGTATTGCACCATCTTCTGCCGAGCAGCCATGAGATGTGGATGGCATGCAGTCCTTCTGCACCATCTGCTGCCAGCCAAAGATGTAAAAGATAGATGGAGTGGATCAAAACAAGAAATAGACCAGATTTGTTTTGTACTCATTTGCTTCCCCCCCGCCCCTGTCTAGGGGACTCATTCCTCTAGGTCACACTGCAGTCACTCACAGAGAAGGTGCAGCGAGGTAAATCTAGCCACGTATCAATCAGAGGCCAGACTAACCTCCTTGTTCCAATAAGAACAATAACTTAGGTGCACCATTTCTTATTGGAACCCTCCGTGAAGTCCTGCCTGAAATATTCCTTGATGTAAAGCCACCCCCTTTGTTGATTTTAGCTCCCTGAAGCCAACCCTGTAAGCCATGTCGTCAGTCACCCCTCCCTCCGTCAGAGCAACGGCAAACAATCGTTCCGCACCTTTTTTCTGTGCGGACGCCATACCAAGGCAAGCATGGAGGCCGCTCAGCTCGCTTTGGCAATTAGGAGCATATTAAACACCACACGCATTATCCAGCAGTATATGCAGCACCAGAACCTGGCAGAGCGATACCGGGCAAGGAGGCGACATCAGCGCGGTCACGTGAGTGATCAGGACATGGACACAGATTTCTCTGAAAGCATGGGCCCTGCCAATGCATGCATCATGGTGCTAATGGGGCAGGTTCATGCTGTGGAACGCCGATTCTGGGCTCGGGAAACAAGCACAGACTGGTGGGACCGCATAGTGTTGCAGGTCTGGGACGATTCCCAGTGGCTGCGAAACTTTCGCATGCGTAAGAGCACTTTCATGGAACTTTGTGACTTGCTTTCCCCTGCCCTGAAGCGCATGAATACCAAGATGAGAGCAGCCCTCACAATTGAGAAGCGAGTGGCGATAGCCCAGTGGAAGCTTGCAACGCCAGACAGCTACCGGTCAGTTGGGAATCAATTTGGAGTGGGCAAGTCTACTGTTGGGGCTGCTGTGATGCAAGTAGCCCACGCAATCAAAGATCTGCTGATATCAAGGGTAGTGACCCTGGGAAATGTGCAGGTCATAGTGGATGGCTTTGCTGCAATGGGATTCCCTAACTGTGGTGGGGCCATAGATGGAACCCATATCCCTATCTTGGCACCAGAGCACCAAGCTGGCAAGTACATAAACCGCAAGGGGTACTTTTCAATAGTGCTGCAAGCCCTGGTGGATCACAAGGGACGTTTCACCAACATCAACGTGGGATGGCCGGGAAAGGTACATGACGCTCACATCTTCAGGAACTCTGGTCTGTTTCAAAAGCTGCAGGAAGGGACTTTATTCCCAGACCAGAAAATAACTGTTGAGGACATTGAAATGCCTATATGTATCCTTGGGGACCCAGCCTACCCCTTAATGCCATGGCTCATGAAGCCGTACACAGGCAACCTGGACAGTAGTCAGGAGCTGTTCAACTACAGGCTGAGCAAGTGCAGAATGGTGGTAGAATGTGCATTTGGACGTTTAAAGGCACGCTGGCGCAGTTTACTGACTTGCTTAGACCTCAGCGAAACCAATATTCCCACTGTTATTACTGCTTGCTGTGTGCTCCACAATATCTGTGAGAGTAAGGGGGAGACGTTTATGGCAGGGTGGGAGGTTGAGACAAATCTCCTGGCAGCTGATTACACACGGCCAGACACCAGGGCGGTTAGAAGAGCACAGGAGGGCGCGGTACGCATCAGAGAAGCTTTGAAAACAAGTTTCATGACTGGCCAGGCTACGGTGTGAAAGTTCTCTTTGTTTCTCCTTGATGAAATCCCCCGCCCCTTGGTTCACTCTACTTCCCTGCAAGCTAACCACCCTCCCCTCCTCCTTTTAATCATTGCTTGCAGAGGCAATAAAGTCATTGTTGCTTCACATTCATGCATTCTTTATTCATTCATCACACAAATAGGGGGATGACTACCAAGGTAGCCCAGGAGGGGTGGTGGAGGAGGGAAGGAAAATGCCACACAGCACTTTAAAAGTTTACAACTTTAAAATTTATTGAATGCCAGCCTTCTTTTTTTTGGGCAATCTTCTGTGGTGGAGTGGCTGGTTGGCCGGTGGCCCCCCCCACCGCGTTCTTGGGCGTCTGGGTGTGGAGGCTATGGAACTTGGGGAGGAGGGCGGTTGGTTACACAGGGGCTGTAGTGGCAGTCTGTGCTACAACTGCCTTTGCTGAAGCTCAACCATACACTGGAGCATACTGGTTTGGTCCTCCAGCAGCCTCAGCATTGAATCCTGCCTCCTCTCATCACACTGCGGCCACATTTGAGCTTCAGCCCTGTCTTCAGCCCGCCACTTACTCTCTTCAGCCTGCCACTTACTCTCTTCAGCCCGCCACCTCTCCTCCCGGTCATTTTGTGCTTTCCTGCACTCTGACATTATTTGCCTCCACGCATTCATCTGTGCTCTGTCAGTGTGGGAGGACAGCATGAGCTCAGAGAACATTTCATCATGAGTGCGTTTTTTTTTCTTTCTAATCTTCACTAGCCTCTGGGAAGGAGAAGATCCTGTGATCATTGAAACACGTGCAGCTGGTGGAGAAAAAAAAAGGGACAGCGGTATTTAAAAAGACACATTTTATAAAATAGTGGCTACACTCTTTCAGGGTAAACCTTGCTGTTAACATTACATACATAGCACATGTGCTTTCATTACAAGGTCGCATTTTGCCTCCCCCCACCACGTGGCTACCCCCTCAACCCTCCCCCCTCCCCGTGGCTAACAGCGGGGAACATTTCTGTTCAGCCACAGGCAAACGGGCCAGCAGGAACGGGCTCCTCTGATTGTCCCCTGAAGAAAAGCACCCTATTTCAACCAGGTGACCATGAATGATATCTCACTCTCCTGAGGATAACACAGAGAGATAAAGAACGGATGTTGTTTGAAAGCCAGCAAACATACACTGCAATGCTTTGTTGTACAATGATTCCCGAGTACGTGTTACTGGCCTGGAGTGGTAAAGTGTCCTACCATGAAGGACGCAATAAGGCTGCCCTCCCCAGAAACCTTTTGCAAAGGCTTTGGGAGTACATCCAGGAAAGCCGCGAATGCCAGGGCAAAGTAATCCTTTCACATGCTTGCTTTTAAACCATGTATAGTATTTTAAAAGGTACACTCACCGGAGGTCCCTTCTCCGCCTGCTGGGTCCAGGAAGCAGCCTTGGGTGGGTTCGGAGGGTACTGGCTCCCGGTCCAGGGTGAGAAACAGTTCCTGGCTGTCGGGAAAAGCGGTTTCTCCGCTTGCTTGCTGTGAACTATCTACAACCTCATCATCATCATCATCATCTTCGTCCCCAAAACCTGCTTCCGTGTTGCCTCCATCTCCATTGAAGGAGTCAAACAACACGGTTGGGGTAGTGGTGGCTGAACCCCCTAAAATGGCATGCTCATCATAGAAGCGGCATGTTTGGGGCTCTGACCCGGAGCGGCTGTTCGCCTCTCTGGTTTTCTGGTAGGCTTGCCTCAGCTCCTTAAGGTTCATGCGGCACTGCTTCGGGTCCCTGTTATGGCCTCTGTCCTTCATGCCCTGGGAGATTTTGACAAAGGTTTTGGCATTTCAAAAACTGGAACGGAGTTCTGATAGCACGGATTCCTCTCCCCATACAGCGATCAGATCCCGTACCTCCCTTTCAGTCCATGCTGGAGCTCTTTTGCGATTCTGGGACTCCATCATGGTCACCTCTGCTGATGAGCTCTGCATGGTCACCTGCAGCTTGCCACGCTGGCCAAACAGGAAATGAGATTCAAAAGTTCGCGGTTCTTTTCCTGTCTACCTGGCCAGTGCATCTGAGTTGAGAGTGCTGTCCAGAGTGGTCACAATGGAGCACTCTGGGATAGCTCCCGGAGGCCAATACCGTCGAATTGTGTCCACAGTACCCCAAATTCGACCCGGCAAGGCCAATTTAAGCACTAATCCACTTGTCAGGGGTGGAGTAAGGAAATCGATTTTAAGAGCCCTTTAAGTCGAAATAAAGGGCTTCATCGTGTGGACGGGTGCAGGTTTACATCAATTTAATGCTGCTAAATTTGACCTAAAGTTCTAGTGTAGACCAGGGCTTTGCCTCCTAAAACATGGTTGAAAATGCAGGCTTGTGAGAGTGGTTGGGTGGCATGCTGGGTTATGATTCTTGTCCGTCATTGCTACAGAACCAGGTTCTTATCCTGGTGTGACGGACAATGAATGTAACAAGCCCCGTTCGGTTCCAATGGAAGTCATTCCAAAACTCTGCATTGGATTGGGTCCCTAAAGGAGAACCACAAATCCTGTCAAAACAAACACTGTCGGATGCTTCTGAAGGCCATAAAAAGCAAAGGATAAAGACAGTAGAATTGATTGTTTTAGTATGCATATGTAGTGCTGGGTGAAAGGCGCATGAGTAACATCTTCATTCTTCAGTGCTTTCTATTTAGCCACAGGAAAAAAAGAGTGCAGCACAGACAATAGCAGTGCAAGCTACCTCACTCCATCCTGCCAATGCACCTTAACACCAACCTGGAGGGAGCTCTTCTAGGGGTGAGAGACTAGTTCATGTTCTGTGTCCTTTCAGCCTTGCCCACGTATGCATGCCACTCGTAGTCACTTTTGTAGTGTGGGCAGTTGGCCACTGTGAACTGCACTAAGACCACCACATGGGACATCTAACCGCCACCACGAGAAGGCAACATGAAGTTTTTACCAAACGGGGCTGGATTTGAACTGGTGACAGAGCCTAATGTTCAAACTTGGGCGACTAACAAAGCACCTGGATAAAAGTGGCCTGCTTTTCAGAGTGACTAAGCATTTGCCCCTCCCGTTGACTTCAGTGGACGTTATGTCTGCTCAGCGACTCAGAAAGTCAGCTCACTTGTGCTTAGGTGCATAAATATGGATTTAAGTGCCTAATTTTAAACACCCACGTTTGAAAACGGTCGGCCATAGAGCCAACAGGTTCTGTTGCCTGTGGTTGGTGTGGGTGCAATGAATTAATGACTCAATTCACGGGGTGTGTCCTGTACATTACTGCAGCTGGGACTCACAAAACTGATCAAGTGACCGTTTGTACTGTACTGCAGTTTATCTTGTAGCACAGCTTTTCCATGCAACGAGTGGTTATTGTTACAACCACGGTGGATGCTACGACTGAGAAAGGTTGGAGAATCCCAATTGACATTTACATTCTTTATTCCCCATGGTATCGTTTTACGCCCATCTTTTGATGCTAATGTTAAATACTATTCACCACTTGTCTTCATAGTCTCATAACTTGCCCCTCATTATGAACAGCTATTTTTATTGTTGCAAAAGTAACAGACGGGGCGGATAAGAGAGAGTTCCTGACAGAAGAGTTTACTGTCTAATTAGATGAGAAAAAGGTAGGATTATCATCCTCATTTTATGGATGGGGATTGTGAAACCGCCAAGTCAGCCATAAAACTTCCTCAAATTTTGGAGGGTTTTGCATTAGTTGGTCTGGTTTAGGCCTGATTCGGAGTTTGGATCTAAACCCAGAGCCAAAATCCCCAACTCAGGGTTGAGATTCAGTGTTTTGCTTGGAGTCAATGACAGATACTGGGTAAGGTATGGATTGTGTTATCCGGTATTTTAAACATAGCAACTATTTGAGTGCCAAGTTCCCTTGTGTACAGCAAGCTCAGCTCCAATGCAAACCATAGTGTATAAGCAACAAAATGCTGCCATCTAGTGGATGCTGGGTATTAGACTACACGAGTGCCTATATGAAAGGTCATTTTATATTATATGATTATGGGTACAGCTACACTGCAATAAAACACCCACGGCTGACCTGTGGTAGCTGACTAGGGCTCATGAGACTCAGGCTGTGGGGATACAAAACATTGGAGTTGATTGGAGTTGTTATAAGGAAGTTCCGTGGAGGGTAAAAGTTGGACCTGGTAATCAATAAAACAATGCAGGTACTGATCCAAACTTTAATTCATCCATTCCAACTGTCCATCTGTTTGGGGATAATATGCTGTGGAGAGGCACAGGTCAACATCCAAGAGGCAGAATAGCTCTCAGCTGAAATAGGAGATGAATTGCTATCTGTGGTCAGATATGATGGTGGAGGTAATCTGAAGCTTGAAGACGTGATCAAAGAACAAAACGGGCTGTAATTTCTGCAGGGATCTTTGACAGAGCACAAAGTGAGACTAGTAGTTGTGGATCTCCTGTCTAAGACGTATGGCAGCATGGCCCTGGGAACTGAGAAGGTCTAGAGTGAAGTATATCAATATGAACTCCCAGGGTCCATAGTGGGATAGAGGTGCCCAGAGGTTTAGTGTAGGGGACGTTTGTCTGGCAACACACCTCACAAGAGAGTCAGTGTATAACTTAACGAGGCATGTAGTCTTGAACATCAGAAGTGTCACAAAATCAGTTTTATCGTCTTCCACTGACCAGAAGTGTCCAGCCAGAGGAGAGTCATGGTAGAACTGGAGAGTCATGAGGTGAGGTGGACCTTCTACAACAGTGGTTCTGAACCTACTTAGCATTGTGAGCCACATTCCATACTACCTGTATGGCCCTGAGGATGTCACATGGGCCGCAGCCCTGTGCTGATTGGGCTGCAGGTTGAGAACCACTGTTCTAGGATATAAACATGGCCTTTGAACAAACATGTATTCCATTTTTAAAATACAGAAGGTCAGGTTGAGGTAGACACTGAGCAACATCCATTCTGCTGCAAGCGTGTCATTAGGTGGTAAGGATCTCCCAAGAGCTAAGACATCTGTGTTCACAAACACATTAGCAAAATGGCAGGGCTTCAAAATAATGGAGAGTTCTAATAGCCTTTCCCTGCTGTCAAGACACACTCCTTTGTGGGAGAGCACATCAGGCTTGTGGTTGCAGCCCCAAGGCTGCGAGCATAG